ACCACACACACACACCATATACACACACTATACACACACTACAAACACACACACCACACATACACACACACCCCACACATACCACACACACACACACACACACACACACACACACACACATACCATACAGCTTCCGGCATAAATTTGTCCATCTAGAATTGTATTAAAAAGCAGTGTTCTCAGCCCTGGCTGCTCATTAACATTATCTAGGATGTTCTCAAAAATGCACACATGCTGAGACCTCAAGTCCAGAAGGATCTGGAAAAAAAATTTTAAAAAAAATTCCCAGGTGAGTCTAATGTACAGCTCAGACGGGAAACCTCTGGGTAAAATGATCTCTTTAGGACCTTTCTAGCTCTAACTGGTGGAATCCTGCAGCTTTGGGCTGGTGTTAGGAGACAGGATGCATGGGACATTTTGACAGTGTATAGGGCTTATATTTAATTTGTTTTTTCTTTTTTCTTCATTCCTCTTTTATTTTCTTCACATTCACTATCTCAGAGTGTGCAAACATTTTAATTGGGTGACACCCTTAGAGGTTGTTGATCTAGCTTAGATCAAAGAGTTTCCAAAATAAAGACAACAGAATTTGTGGAGGTCCAGAAAAGTTGAGTAAGAACAAGGCAGTGAAAATTGGGCAGCACATGGAGAGGCTTTGGTTATCACCTGTTGGGCAACAGGGAAAGAAGAGCCATCTCCAAGGGGCTGGGGTAGAGATTAGGGGTAGTGTGTATGTTTAGCATGCGTGAGGACCTGGATTCAATCCAAAGCACTGGAAAAAATCCATCTCCAAGAATAAGGAAGTTCTCTGTACAATGTCTTAAGCAAAATCTGTCTCCAAACACAGGAACCTCTGCATGAGGGCATCTTCAGTTCTGTGCCTACCCGAAGCGAATGAAGGGGACCTAATGGACTCCTAGAGTCCTCCTTGCATCTGACAAGGCTGGGAAGGAGAATGCTGTGCTGTGTTTGATATATGAACAAAGGACAACTCGCCAACACTGTTGCAGAGGTATTTTGATTTCTGAACCAAATTAGATACCAGTATTTAAATTTACCTGTGTCTCAGGATGATTGCAGAAGATTTAAAATGAATGTATAAACTTTCTGCAACGGTTACCAGGAAGATAAAAACCTAAATATGGTAATTAGAAATCGAGAAATGTTCATGCTATAAATAAATTCTCAGATATGAGCCATGATCTGGTAGCAATAAGCACTATACCCAACACTCATCAGTTTATAGACACAGTATTCATTTTCTGTTTGCATGAATATATAGGGAATCTGAATTTAATGCACATAACAATTTTAAAAATGAACATGAGATAAACAAGAGAAGAAGAAGGTGTTTTAAATTTTTGTTTGTTTTGTGTTTTTTTTAAAGAGAGAGGAAAAATTCCTATTGCCAAACAGAAATAAGTTCATTAAAGGAAGCATACCATTGAAAATAACTATAATCCTCAATACATAATATTCTAAAAAGTAGATAAACTCTATTTAATTAATTTTTCCCTTATTAAGTAGTTTGCATTTGATATGACTGGGTATGTACCAAGTTTAGAAATTACCAAAGATAAATGATGCCCAGAATAAATAGTCTCATAATGTAAAATTTACTATGTGTCTAAAAGAACATCATAATTTTTTAATGAAATTTTCTGAGATTGGAAAGTTCCAGATTGCTATTCAAATATATTTCAAAATGGTTTTGTAAGCAAGGATATGTCTATTTTTTTTCCTTTGTTCCTTTCTAAAAGCACAGTGTAAATAACTGGCTTGTGGAGTACATGGTATTTGTAAAAATCAGAGTGATCTATTTTGCCAAATTAGAAAGTAATTAATCAATCCACTTGGTTTTGGTCATGTAAAATAATTTACCAGTCAAGATAATCAGTATTATTGATGACACTGTTATTTCATTCCTGGAAAGATTATCTCTCAAATTGTAATAATTAGGGGAAAAAAGATTTCACTGAGAGCAAGGCATGCCTTTAAAATATATAAACAAAAGATATAAAATGCCATCTCTACAATCCTTTCAATTTATTCATGGGTCTCATGTTTGTGTATATCTTAATTGTTCTTGCTCATGCAAAATAAAAACTACTCAGATAAATGCTAATAGACCATGTGAAAGAATACTAAACATTTATAACATTAAAATGTGGTGTTATAAATGTTGTGTATCTGAAATTTTACTGAAGATTGCAATGAATAAAGTTATTCATTTCAAAAGAGAAATTAGTTCTGAAATATTATATTGTGCTAGGAATGCACTCGTTGGCAATGAACATCTCATTTTTCTCATTTTATGGTCCCATGAGTTAGAAAGGGGGCATTCCCTTTCCCGTGTTTAACCACTCTAAGTGGAGAGAAAGCAAGAGTTGCATATTAGATCTTCTGACTCTTACGGAGCGTAATCTCCCAGGTGACTTGCGTTTGGCAGGTTGTCAACAAAGCTTGAACCTAAATTTTTCTACATACTCAACTGTTACTAAAATAAGCAGAAGAAAGAGTGCGAGTCATTCCTACAAGACTAAGCAAAATGAAGGCACGAGTGTGAGGAAGAGCATCAACTTGTAAACTTTCTGAAAAGTCTCCTGACTCTGAGAATAAAGACTTCCCATAAGGTCACTGAGGGCAGAACTTCTCATCTGAATATTGAAGACTAAACAGCTTATCTTTGACCCTGAGAATGAACTTTGACAATAGCATGTCAGTCTCATTTCTGTATAGAAAAAATATTAGGGAGAAATAACAGAATAAGGAACAAAAATTGAACAAAATCTAATATTGAGTGAATATAAATCTAGGACCAACAGCTGGGAAATATAAAGAGGCTGAAAAAGAAATTTTTTCACAACAAGGAACTCAGAAAGAAGAAAGCCTGCCCCAGATGTCCAAGGAAGTGATAGATGACAACATGTGCTGATATTTCAGGGGTCTTCAGTGAGCAGATGGGAAGGTGACCCAGATGATGGGAGGCTGTGATCTGATTTTTTTCCCAGTGACTAATAACTGCCTGAAAGGTTAAGGTAAAGAGGGGTGTGATTTTTTTCTCTCTGAATAAATATTGAGAATAAAACTACTCATTGAAATGATATTTATTTTAAGTTTTATTTAAAATGCATATTTTTCTTAGATTTTAAATTTCAAGTTTATCTGAGCATGCATAGATAACACTGCTAAATAGGAAACAGCTGTCTCATGGTGCTGCTCCCTGACTGATGTCTGTCACTCTTCTGGGGCTGTGGCGGCATTTGAAGGATGTATTGCAGAGGTATATTATATTTCCTGAAATCTATGACCTCCAACCCATAGTTATGAACCTTGAGAGGACTTTTAACCATGCTTATGTTTTTTTATTATGTTTACCATTGCTGAGCTTAACAAAAATAGGCAGGATACCAGTTAAATGGAAAGTTCAGAGAAACAATGAATCCTTTTTTAGTATCATTATTTCCTAGTGAAAAGTTTTTGGTTTTGTATCTGAAATTCAAATGTCACTGGATGTCTGACCCAGTAACCAATGTCCTTCAGCTGAGCAGTTGACCTTACAAGGACATCAAAAAGAAACTTCTTAAGTCTGTTGATCTACATGGTCTATAACCACTCTTTCTTCTTTTTTTTTCTTCTAATGCAAGGAAAGACATACCTATTTTCCTTGCCATGGCCAAGGCTGCCCCTTTGGTCTCACTCTCCCCTACCTTCTTTGGGTGAACTTAAATAATGAATCCTTTCAGTTTTCTGTATCTTTGACTTCTCTCTTTTTGAGCTCAAGTTTCTTCTAAACTAAAAGCAAAAGCAAAAACAAAACAAAACAGAAAAATTCCCAAGTTCACCTCTCTACTTCCTAAACTCTCTCTTTCCTTATTCACCTTCTAGGTTTGCATATGCCTTCTCCGTCATTTTGCTCCTGCCTCTCTTGGCTCCTTTCCTCTCCTTGGGCCATTAAGTGCTGCCACTCTGCAGGGTTCTGCTCTCATCTTCTCAGTTATGGAATTTGCATGGGGGATCTTCACCCCCACTGCCTCGGTACTCAAGACTCCTAGGTCTTCCTCTAATATTGAGCTGTCTCTTTGGATCTTTAGTTCCTTATATGCAATTGCCAACTACCAAATATCTCTTTCTGGATATTTGTTTTGTACTTCAACCTCTCATGCCCCAAGTTGAACTTATCTTTCCCTTTTAAATCAGCTTCTCAAGCAGAATGTTCTCTCGATAGTAAAGGATACTATAACCTGCCTAGTTTTCTAAAAATCAGAAAACTGAGAGCAGATTTGTATATGATTTACCATCAAGTCCTGCTTCATTTACTTTCAAAATATTTTTCTAAAAGTCCATGAATCCCTTTCTATTCTCACAGCCACTGCCCCTTTTCCCTGAGACACAGCCATAGATTTCTGACTGGCTCTGGTTTTCTCTCTTCTGACTTCAGACTTGCCCCAGCCAATTTGTTTTCCAGCAGCAACCTGAGTGGCCTTGCAAAATGCAAAACTGAGATTGTCACTCTTTGGCTTAAAAGTCTGCAGAAACTTTCTCCTGGTCTTTAGAAGAAAGTCCAAACTCCTAATTATGGTTGATAGGCGCTTTGTGATTGGCTGCAGCTCCTGCCCCATCTGCTAATCCTTCATGTAGGGAGTCTCCTTCACCTCTGTGTTTGTAGGTATCACATCTTTCAGCTGAAGCAGGCTGTCCCTTCTCCCCTTTTCTTTGTTGACTTACTCCTACTTCTCCTTTGGATTTTTCCCTAGTTATTACTTCCTCAGAGAAACTTGCTTTGTTCCACTAAATGTGTTCCTTTAGCTTTGTTCATGGATTTTTTTAAAAAAAACATTCATCTGCTTAATTGTTTTACCAACTAAAATATGACTGAATAAAAGATGGGACCATTCTAGCTTTTCCACTGCATTGTCAGCTTCTAGGAAATTCCCTTCACACAAAGCAAGTTCTCAATGAATCATTGTTCAATAAATGAATGAATGAATAAATCAATTCATGGATTTGAGGACGGTAGTAAGAATGTCCATTTTAAGCACAATTCTCTCAAGGCTTAGGCCTGTTACCCCAAAGTTATCTAAATTAATTTTTACAAATGCTAATTGTATTTTTAAAAGCATGATCTTGTTGCTCCTGAGAAGTCTTCTGCTATGAACATATTGAGCTTTAGGAAATCTTTCTCTCCATTTTCCCACACCCATTTAAAGTTATTGCAACTTGTAAGAGTTCAAAAAAATAGACTTTTTTAAATCGAGTTTTATTTTGGTTTTTCTCAAGAATCTTTCTTAATAAAAATGAGAATATGCATATAATATTTAAAAGCTCTTGTATAATATTAAAAAGTCCATCTTCAAATTTACTCTCTAACCCAAGTTAGAGCTGGAACATTACCAGAAACTATCACTGACCTTTGTCATTTTCCTCTTTTAAAGAAGAGGAGTTCAGATGGAGTTCAGAATTCCTTATTAGTTTTACAGTACATTACCCAGTTCTCACTGTTGTCCGTGTAGTCTTCTCTCTGAGACCTCACTAACTTGAAAGCCATTTCGGAAGTTGTGTTTGAGTAAGGCAAGAATTGTCCTGAGTATGGCAGAGGACATAAATAAGTATCTTTTATGACCCCTATGTTCAAAGAGTGGTTATTCTACAAGGATAAGAAAATGAATGCATGTAAAACTTGAGAAAAATTGAATATTAAATATGTGACATTCGCTATCAGGGCTATAGGAGTTCCAAGAAAGAAAAGATCATTGTGGACCATGATAGCTTGGAAAAGCTTCATGGAGGAGGATAAAAATGAGGTGACTGTGGAAGCAAATCTAAGAATGAGCATTTGGAAGAAAAAAAAAAAAGAAAGACATTTAGGAGGAGGAGGATTTGCATTTGAGGGTCATATAGTTGAGTGCTACTGGTTTTGCTTTTGTTTTTCTTTGTCCTGCTCACAATTCTTTTTCACTCCAGGTACTGATGTTGCTCTTTTTACTGTTGAAATGTCATTTCCTCAGCTCATAAAATGCTGGAGGGATTGCAGATAGTTGCATATTAAATATAGTTTTCTTGCCCAAGGACTTGACCCAAGCAAAATGCTCCATGCCCCTGGTGAGTGAGTAAGACCTAGGGTTGGCTGATTATATTCCCTCCCTCACATTTT